GCGCAACCCAACTTGACTAGTGGTGTTAGGCGAGTTCGGGTGGCGACGTTGTAGGGAGTTGGTTCCTTTTCACTCGGTTAGGGTGGAGTGATTCAGGTTAGATTCGAGGTCCGAGTTTGGCTTCTGTATAGGCGTTCGGCAGCAGTTTCGGAGGTCGGGCCTGGGCTTGGGATCTTTCGTGGATTCTTTTGTTTCTCCGCTGTTCCGACTCGTTTGATTGCTAGAGAAGGCCTTTGTTATTGTTTTGTTGCTTTGGTGTGTTGCTAGGCTTGTGATTGTGTGTTTTTTAATTGTTCTTTTTTGTTGTCTTGTGTAGTAGGATCGTGTTTTAGGTTTGGGCCGTTGGCCTCGGTACTGATTCCCCTGTGGAGGGCGTTTCTATTCTCCTGTGGGGAGCGTTCGTAGTTGGTGTGTTGGTATTTTTGAGTTGTGTGCCGTTTTTTTTTTTTTCTAGCGTGGCTAGCGAGGCTCTAGGAGGTCTTTCGATCCGTCCTCCCAGTTTCTAGTCTTTGGTTGTAATATTTAGCTAAGAGCTGCTTTTTTTGCACAGTTGTGCGTTTTTATCTACAATATCTCTATCGTTTCCAAAAAAAAAAGTATATCTCTTATCCGTGCATCGCACGAGATTCCTACTAGTTGTAGAAAATCGTAAATACAAATAACGAAAAATGTTAGAATTAAATAATATATTTTTTGTAATAAAATAAATATAATATAATTCAAGAGTTATTGTGCTAGATTGAATGTCATTAAAATGTAGTCAAAGTTCGGTGTGACTAACTTAAAATATTTTCCTTTTATACATAATTTTTAAAATAAAATACAAAGACATTTTACTAATATAACATAATTTCCCAAAGTGAATTTTGAATAGGCATAATAAGAAAAAAATAAAATAATAATAATGCAAACTAATGTAGCAATTTCAAATTCGTACATCTAAACTAATATTTGATTTGTCCATAATATTTATCTAATAACACATAAATGTATTAAGCTCAATAATTTTTTTTTTTCAATATACTACTAAAATGTAATATTGGCAAATTAGGGGTGGTTAAAAATAAAAAACAAATGCGAATTAGTGCTCGTTGAAAATTATTCCACAACACAATAATTTAAATAATTATCTACACTAACCATATGGTAAATGGTCACATCACAAAATTAAGCTAAAAACTTTTAAGATTCTATAATTAATCAAAAGAAAATAATGACGAAATAATTAGCCTAACTTTTTGTCGCGTTAGGGCTTCTCCAATGGTTAGCTATTTGGCTAACTATTATGACGTGGACAGGGGAAAAGTAAGAGAGAGAGTAGTCACTAGCTACTAACAAATAGCTTATCTATTTCACGTAGCCCAAGATCATGTGAGAGGAGTAATGGGTCCAATAGTATAAAATAATTATTTTTCTTATCTCTCACATCCACGTCAGCTAACTATATAGCTAGTAATAGCTATTACCATTGGAGATGCCCTTAATGAATAGAACTTTATTTCATGTCTACATAATTCAGTTAACATGATATTGAAATTAAAATGGCCAATGAAAATACTAACTTTAAT